AAATCGCCCCAAACCGGTGTTGGAAATGTCCAAAAATGGCAAAAATCGGAACCTCTTCGAAATGTATATTGTCCATGGGTTCCTCACATGCGACTCACTTAGCCGCTTCTGCGGTCTCGCAGGTGTGAGAAACCAACCGCTTTTGCGGTTTGCCAAGGCTGGCCTCCCTTCGCTTCTGCGGTCGCCATCCTGCTTCTGCGGGCTCCCTTCTGCGGCCTTTGCGCTTCTGCGGTCGCATAGTCGCAGATGCGATGCCGCTTCTACGGACCATCTACTCGCATCTGCGGCCTCAATCTTAACCCATGCTTGGTCGCTTCTGCGATGAAGCACACGCTTCTGCGAGCTTACACATGTGAGTCAATTTCCGCAGGTGCGATTGCATTAGTAGGAAGCAGCAAGTTTCAATTGTTCTAAGTCCAAATTTGATCCGTTAACCATCTGAAACTCATCTAAGGCCCTCGGGACCTCAACCAAATATACCAACAAGTCCTAAAATACCATACGAACTTAGTCATGGCCTCAAATCACATCAAACAACGCTAAAATCATGAATCATACCCCAATTCAAGCTTACTGAAACTAAGAACTTTCAACTTCTACATTCGATGCCGAAACCTATCAAATCAAGTCTGATTGACCTCAAATTTTGCACACAAGCCATAAATGACACAACGGACCTANACTTAGTCATGGCCTCAAATCACATCAAACAACGCTAAAATCATGAATCATACCCCAATTCAAGCTTACTGAAACTAAGAACTTTCAACTTCTACATTCGATGCCGAAACCTATCAAATCAAGTCTGATTGACCTCAAATTTTGCACACAAGCCATAAATGACACAACGTACCTATTCAAATTTCTAGAATCGGATTCCGACCTCGATATCGAAAGTCAACTCCCTGGTCAAACTTCCAAACTTAAATTTTTAATTTTGCCATTTCAAGCCTAATGTTGCTACGGGCTTCCATATAATTTTTCGTACCCGCTCCTAAGTCCAAAATCACCATACGGAGCTATTGAAATTATCAAAACTTTATTCCGGGGTCGTTTACACATAGATCGATATCCAGCCAACCTTTTCAACTTAAGTTTTAAACTTTGAAACTAAGTGTTCCAATTCATTCCAAGACCTCACCGGACCCAAACCAATTACCCCGACAAGTCATATAACAACTGTAAAGTACAAATTGAGCAGTAAATTGGGAAATAGGGTTGTAATACTCAAAACGACCGACCGGGTCATTACAATAGGTATGGACATCATCATACCGATCCGCAAGACTTTATTAGACACTTGCTCATGACTCGTAGAACCTATGAACCTAGAGCTATTATACCAACTTGTCATGACCTAAAATTCAACTAGTCGTGATGGCACCTAACCCAATTCGCTAGGTAAGCCAAATAACAGTAAACATAATTTAATAATAAAATTTATAGTCAAAAGTGAAATAACTGAATACTTATACAACTCCCCATGGACTGGTAGTACAAGTCATGAGCCACTAAGACTGGTAGTACAACTCACGTGCTAATAATCACAATTCACCCGGCATAGTCACGAGCTCAATATAACAATTCGCTGGGCGTGGTCACAGGAACAACAACACACTCCGCCCGGCATGCTCACAGGCATAACAACACAATATGTCCGGCGTGGTCACAGGCATCCAGTCCAAATCATATCACATATAAGCAAATATACAAGAATACATGTATGTGATCAACGAATATCATATTTGATGCTCCTGGACTGGAATAAGTGACTTGCTAAAGTGTATGCATGTGTAAAGTGTGCTATCATAGCTCAAATCGGTAGTTTCATCACAGAAATAACAATTACCAAGTTTATTCATGGAATTAGCTTCTTCGTAACCTCAAACATAGTTCAAATAGTTCACAACAATGTTACAATTACGAGAAACATTATAGCTTAAAGCTTGACAGTCAATTCTAGGCATATCATAGCCTAAGCACTACCTCGGGCATGGAAGAATACCTCGGTACTCGCACATAGGCTCAAACCCCACACATATGCGCACCCATAGCACGTAGCTATCACAAATTATTCAGAAAACTAGTGCCTCAACCAAGTTTAGATAGGATACTTACCTCAAGCAAGCCCAAACAAATACCGAGCAAGCCAAACAACACTCTAGAAATGCCATCTCGCGCGTATCAACCTATGAATGGCTCAAAACTAGCCAAAAGCAACTCAAAAACATCAAATAATACCATCGGAGACAAACTCAATCGATAAAGGTCTAATCTTTAATCAATTACTTAAACTCAACCAAAAAGTCAAACAGTCCATATGGTGAAAATCCTCACTAAAATCTCTCAAAACCGAGCTCCAAATCATAAATAATGATAAAAAGAACCAAAACCTCGATATATAGTGAGTCTTCCCAAGTAAGTCGCTCCTGCGAAAATCGATGATCCCAGACCTCTCTCACTTGCGGAATATACTCCGCTTCTGCGACATCGCAGGTGCGAGGAAATGCTCCACATCTGCGCCAAGGCGACCGCATCTGTGCCTTCGTAGATCCGATGAAATCTCCGCATATGCGAACTCCTGCCTCCAGCTCCAATTTGCGCTTATTCGCTACATGTGCCGCTTCGGCGGCTCCTCACCTGTGCCCAAGGCTCTGCAGGAGCGCTCACACCAAGTCCATCCCAAACCAGCATAGTCAAAATGATCCAAAACGATCTGAACCACGTCTGAAACTCACTCGAGCCCCTCGGAACCTCGTCCGAATATACCAAAAAGTTCCAAAATATAATACGGACATATTCGAGGCCTCAAATTACACATAACAATATCGAAACGACGAATTGCACCTCAAATCAAACTTGAAGAACTATTGAACTTTCAATTTCCAAAACTCACAATGATTCATATCAAATAAACCCGAAGTGACTTCAAATTTTGTACACAAGTTTCAAATGACATAACGAACCTATTCCAACTCCTGGAACAATAATTCAAATATGGTATCATCAAAGTCAACTCTCGATCAAACTTATGAACATTCCAAACCTTTCAATTTTTAACTTTCGCCAAATAGTATCGAAACCCTAGAAACACCATCCGGATCACCATCCGGACCACCGGGCATACGCTCAAGCCCAAAATCACCATCCGGACCTAACGAAATCATAAAAACTCCGATCCAAGGCCATATACACCAAAGTAAACTTGGTCAACTCTTCCAAAACAATTCTGAATTACCTGAAAACCAAAACCAATAATTCACACAAGTCATAATACATCGTATGAAGCTACTCAAAACTTCAAACAGCTAAACGGAATGCAAATGCTCAAAAGGACCGGTTGGATCGTTACAAAAATAGTGTTTCGATATTGTGGGACCATATTTACCGACCAATGGTGGTCGCTATATTTATTTGAAATTTGTTATTTGACATTTGTGACCAAGTAATTTTGTTTTCGACCGATTTCGATTAGTTTTCGCTTCCGATCAATTTTGGTTGGAATGCCCTGGACGATATTTCGCCAGTATCTATTAGTTAGTAGAATTTTATAAGCAAAGTAATATATCTTGTATTCATTTGCTTTGTGCCAATATCCATAGGGAGTAATTACTTTTTTCGGTATACATAGTCTCTACCAACATAAGGGCTCCAACATAATTATTCCCTATATTTTCTTGCTTACGAATTATGGGCTTTGAAGTTTTCATTATTCTATAATAGCCGCTCTCAAAATAATAGCCGAAAAATATATATTTTTGTATGTATATACATTCTGAATGTTATATACAAAAATTATAAAATTTTATAAATTTTTTCGGCTATTAAATGTAAATAGTTTATGACGCAGGATAAAAGTGATAATACCGTATAAAGATTTGAGGTTTCTACGTCTTTGTAAGATCATTCACTGTAAAGAGATATTCTTTTTCTTTTGAATTTTGCTTTCCATCTGTCCATCTCATAGTAAGAAGAAAAAAAAACTTTACACTATTGGTGGATATCAGTTGAACTTTAACCAATAATATTTACTAGTCTGTTTAGATATTATTGGAAGGCGGCTAAATCTCATAATACAATAAAGTAAGGCGTTTTAATTTAACTTGAAAACAACAATATTTAACAAAGTCACTACGCAAATTGTAGTTTTTAAAACGAAAATGAATCTACCTGCTTCAACTAATACCTAATCTTTCTCCTTTCTTTTTTCTTTCAGTTACTATTCTGGTCATTTTCTATTGTATCCAAACAGTTAGGCGGCATTAGACTCTGTGAAACAATTTCTGAATTTCTTATAAACTCTTTTAAAAAAACGATTCTTTAAGTTTTGTTCAATGAGTAGTTTTCTGGATAAAGGTACTATAGGGTGTTAATTTATGAAAAAATCTTCTTCCACCCACAAATCTTCCAAATAAAACAATTTACACATTTTTCCTCTATACACAAGATATTATTCTCCAAATTTTATTTTTAAAAAATATGAACCAATTTGGATAGGCTAATTCCAGATTATTTTTTTTTTTTTTGGGTAGTGAATGATTTTTATAGAGTTAACAATGAGGCATGTATAAAGTAAGTACGTTGGGTTGTTATAGTAGTTATTCCACTCGTTCTAATCGAAATCATATTCTTTATATTGATGATCAGTTTATTAAATATAGAACCCAAAGCAACAAGAATAATTTTATTTTACATTAAAATTAAAATATCTAATAAACAAAACGAAAGCTCTATATATTGCAAAAAATTCACATAGAATTGCAAAATTTAGATAATTTGAAACTAACAAATATTAAACTAATGATTTGAGAATAGAACAGTCAGCGGGGATAGCTCAGTTGGGAGAGCGTCAGACTGAAGATCTGAAGGTCACGTGTTCGATCCACGTTCACCGCATTATTATTCTTTTAATTTTTTCCAACTCTTTTTTTATTTTTTTTCTATTTAAACACAGAGACCGATCGCACAAGTGTTTGGTCTCTTATTATATCTTCATCAATTCCACTTGCCCTTGTTAATAACCTACCCTTTCCTTCCTTCTCTCCAACTTTTTCGTTTTGCCCTTTCCATCCTTTATCCCATTAATCTTTTCTCATCTATATTTATTCTTTAACATAAAAAGACTAGTGTTGGCTTAAAATCCTTTAATTGTTTTTTGTTAGAAGAACTTGAGAAAGAGAAAAGAGGTGTGTGTTGAATGAAGAACACATCAAGAAATTCGTGGTATAATGGAGAGTGGTGTTATGGTCGTGAATACAAGATTGTTGTCCTCGTTAATGTCGACATCTAATACAATCTGCATGTCATCGACTTCTAATAATTTTGTCGATCATAATAATGCCCTTATTGCTTCTATTCTCAATTCCCAAGGCCGATTCCGACGACAAAAAATGTTCCACCAACACACGTTCGACATTATCTTCCTTGTGTGTTTCTTCCTACGTGGCCTTTTGGGACATGCAAAAACGTCACCTTTTCTTGAAAAAATCCTTGTCTGCCTTTGAATATTATTAGGTTGTCTGTTTGGCTTGTCTTTGTTCTTGTCTTTTTTTCTCCCTTTTCCTTTCCTTCTTCTTCTTCGTTGTCTTCTCTTGTTGCTTTTTGGTTGTTGAACAGAATGATTTCCGGGGCTGGAATTGGAATTGGGAATGGGGACCCTTTAGGATGTTGTACAAATAACAAAGGCGGATCTAATGGATGGACTAATGAAGCACACTACTTGCAAAATGACTACGTTGAGAAAGACCCCAATGGTCGATATGTTCGGGTAATTGATCTCTAATTCCTATTGGTTATTTGTTATTAATATTATATTATTTAATAATATACCGAGAGATTTATTTCTGTCGTTATGCCATAGTTACTGAGGGACTCTGTTGGTTGCTTTTTTTACTAAGGAGCGATTTACCGACCGACCATGTACCGACGGTTTCCTGTCAGTAAAGCCTTGCTATTGAGGGACGTCCCTAAGTTATAATCCGCTTCACTAAAGGGGGACTTTTAGTAGTGTGATCATGTATTATTCTAGTGATTTAAGTGTTGATTTAAAATAAGATGTTACCAACAAAATAAGTCACATGGTTTAACATTTAAATCACATGGAAATGAAGTTGTCTCGAAAGATCTATAATTTTTTGGAATTAGTGCAGACTTAGCTAATAATAGGGCACAATGGAAGAAAAAGATTCATATCTACTAGTTGAAAATAGGTTTTGGCTTGTTAGCACGCTGTTTTTGAATCTATTGTTTTTCTAGGAATATTTTGACCTTATCATAGATTTATATGTCAGTAAAATTATAGAGAATTTCTAATATTGTTATTATTACTATTTTTATATATATTTATTTAGTATTGATGATGACATAAGTTGATCTTAAATAAAAAAACATGATCCCAAACTTGTTCAGGCTGAGGCGATGTTGTTGTTTAACAGTTAAAACTTAGTTAAGTTTGGAAATTTGATAGTGCTTGACTGAAAAGCACATGATTTGAGTTGTTGAAGGTTCAATTTTCTAAGTTGAATTCCATGAGGAACAAAATTGCAATTTTCCCGTTTAGATGTTATTTCCTGTTATTTAAGTTTGATGGCTTGTGTCAAATGCAAAAGTTTAAATTTTATTAGAAGGTTATCACCATGTAGGCAGAATTTGAGGTGGTCTTAGCTGAGATGCAAATAAAGATTTTTCCAAAACAGCGAATGGTCAGAGCAAATCAAGAACCTGCAATTCAATAATTCCTTGGCTGGTTTTGATTAGTAGTTCAAAACCAAGTGCCATGGCAATTTTATTAGAAAACAATGTCAATGTTGCTTTATTGGAAAAATTATTGGCATTGATGAGTTATACACATTTGCAGTGAGTTTTGCTAAATTTTTAAGATGGTTTGGTTAAACATGTTTTTCATTAACTGTCAAATGGTAAGAGTTTGAAAAATGGGAAACTTAAAAAAGGATGTAAAAGATAAGGGAGTTAAGAAAGGTCATCTTGAAGATCCCAAGGTATTTGAAAAATAAAATTCAAGATATATATGGTGGTAGGTCAATAGAAACTAACCGAGCAGCTTAAGAGAAAATTCAAATTACTCAAGAAAAGGAGGCATTGCTCACCAGAAGGAGGGAAAGAAATTTGATTAAATTTTTGGTAGTAATGATGTATAGAATTTGACAGCCATGATCATCTGACGAGCATGGTTAAATATATGCTGATCTACTTATCTTTCATTTTTGTTGCAATACTATATGGCAGGACGACCATTGCTCGAAATAATATCCTGCTCTTATCAAGTTCAAACTGCATTTCTATTCCTATATTGTTATACTATATAATAATAAACAAGGCATAGCTGGTATTTGTCTTGTTATTAAGGAATGGCGTTTTTTAGTATTTTCATATGCTTAAAATTCTATTAGTACCTGATATTGCTCGTGATTTGGTTGTTCTACTTACTGTTTCCTGACTTTTAAACTACTTTATTTCTTCTCTATACTGTTGTGATTTACATGTTTTCTTGGAGCCGAAGGTCTAACGAAAACAGTGTCTCTACCTGCACAAGGTAAGGGTAAGGTTGAGTACACACTACCCTCCCCAGATCCATATTTGTGAAATTATACTGGGTTTGTTGTTGTTGTTGTTGGATGGATATTAATTATAAGAAAAGAAGAAAGGGGATATGGGAGTCTCTTTATAGAAGCACCTGCATTTGTTGTTGTTGTTTCCTTTGTTTAGCAGACAAAGCTTTAAAAGTATCATTTCATTGACAATCCTTTATAGCACATGCATTTGTTTTCTCCTACAGTATAATGAAGTATTGGGCAAGGGAGCATTCAAGACTGTGTATGTTCCTCAACTTTGTCTCGTTTTATTTTTTTATTTTCATTTTGATTCTGAAATTGTCTATCGGAAACAGCCTCTCTATTATAGGGGTAAGGTCTGTTGATGTCTTGTTGTTGTTGTTGATTTTGATATGTGAGGGAATTGTGTTTTAGCTATAAGGCATTTGACTTACTTGAGGGAACTGAAGTTGCATGGAGCCGAGTGAAAATCGATGATGTGTTGCTGTCACCAGAAAGTTTGGGAAAATTATATTCAGAGGTTCATCTTCTGAGACAGTTGAAACATGAAAATATAATGAAGTTATATGATTCATGGATTGATGACAAGAAGAGGACAGTTAACATGATCACCGAGCTCTTCACATCCGGGAACTTGAGACGGTGAGTTTTCTTGATAGTTTAATTTCTCATTTTCTTCATTTGCTTATTATATATTCTCTTAAAGTACTAATTTATTTCATGGCTATAGATACCGTAAGAAGTATCAAAGTGTCGATATGAAGGCTATAAAGAATTGGGGAAGGCAGGTTCTCCAAGGTTTGGACTATCTCCATAGTCAGAACCCGCCTATAATTCACAGGGACTTGAAATGCGACAATATTTTTGTCAATGGAAATCATGGGGAAATCAAGATTGGGGACCTTGGATTGGCGACGATTATGGAGCAGCGTACTGCCAAGAGTGTTATTGGTATGGTTATTTCCCGTAGTTTAATTTTAGACAAGATTTCGTCCATTTGTGGAATTACACTGAGTTTGTTGTTGTTCTTGTTTTTGGACAAGATTTCTTCTGGAGTACTGACTTTATCTATTGCTATATAAAGGGACCCCCGAATTTATGGCCCCAGAGCTCTACGAAGAAGAGTATAATGAACTAGTGGATATATATTCCTTCGGAATGTGTATGCTGGAAATGGTAACTTTTGAGTACCCTTACAGCGAGTGCAAGAATCCTGCTCAAATTTACAAGAAAGTTAGCTCAGTAAGTTCAATAATTTGATTCTTAAATTGTGTTCTCTACTTGAAATTGTGTCATTCTTCAAACTAAAGAACTTTGCATTATCAGGGCATTAAACCTGCTTCCCTCGGCAAGGTTACTGATTCTGAAGTCAAAGGATTCATCGAAAAATGTTTGGTTGTAGCATCCGAGAGGTTGTCAGCCAAGGAACTCCTGAAAGACCCGTTTCTTCAATGTGAAAACTTGAAGGAGTCGGTCCATAATCCATTTCAGTTACCTAAACAATGTCCTAAATCTTTGAGTTTGTCGAAACCTTTGCCACATTCCATGGATGTGGATTCAGAGTATAACCAATCTATGTGTACAGACTCTAATTGTGGAAGTCCTCGTGTTCCGGTTTTGGAATTCCAGAGATGTCATCAGAACAATGAATTTAAATTAATGGGGAAGAAGAATGACGATAACTCAATTTCATTGACCTTTCGAATCAGAGATCCTGCTGGTAAGTAAATGACTATCAATTTGTCCCTCTATCCCGTTTTCTACGACAAATTTTTCTTTTTAGTCCGTTCCAAAAAGAATTACATCTTTTAACATTTAGAAACAAGCTAACTTTAAACTTTTCATTTTATTTTTAATGAGATGATTTATGTCACAGAAATGACTATAGCTTGTTTTAAACCACAATTTTCAAATGCCTTTATTCTTTCTTAAGCTTTGTACTCAGTTGCTCTACCTTTATAAGATACGGGTAAGATCTGTGTAGGATTATAATGATTTTCTGTGGTTGTTGTTGTTGTTATAAGCTTCGTAACCAGTTAAACACCGTCACATAGGATGGAGGAAGTCATTTATTTTACTTTTCAGCATTGTGGAATCAGATATCATCTTTCTTATTCCAAACATTTGGTTATTGCAGGTAGTATAAGAAATATACACTTCATTTTCTATCTTGATACAGACACTGCACCTTTAGTTGCGGCAGAGATGGTTGAACAACTGCAGCTAGCTGATCATGACGTAGCTTTTATTGCTGACTTTATTGATTACCTAATAATGAAGATATTTCCAGCTTGGAATCCTTCCTCTGGAGACCATTCTAGCGGAGGGAGAAGTCCAAGCAAACAACTGCGAGAAAGTTGCCTAACAGACTTGACCGGTTGCTCGAACAAGTCCATAGGTCACCAAGATGTTATTTCTGACTTCAATGTGGAAACTCATGTAATTGCTCGAACTAATGAAGGTGATATGTATGTGAATTCAGATGGCACTTCTCATCATGTTACATTTGATTCGCCAACGCATTTGGTGCCCGTTGATGATGAAAAGTCTCAAGGATCAGTTGTTTCTAAGATTACGACTGCAAATGCTGATATTAGGAATGAGAATTCGTTTGGATGCTTCGACGATCATGTTAATGATGGAGTTTCTAAAAGTTGTAGTACAAGCATCTCGGAGATGGATTTCAGGTACTTGTTCCACGACGAATGCACAATGCAGGAAAACGATGATGATACATTAAATGAATATGGGAAGGATTCAGAGCTGACTTATATAGATATCGACAGAATTTCTAGAGGCATGAGCTTGTCGAGTAGTTCTTTTTCCTCCTTGGTTGACAAAGATGAGGATACAGAGCTAAAATTGGAGCTCAAAGCAATTGAATTGCAGTATCAGGAGTGGTTTCAAGAACTCTCAAGAATGAAGGAAGAGGAACTAGAAACTTGCACGAAGCGATGGACGACTAAGAAAAAGTTGGCAGGTAACTGAATGAGAGTGGCTGACAACTTTCTTCATATATCCAAGTTTTTCTCATAGATTAACGATTAGCGTTTCTTCTTTTACTACACGTAATCAGAAGGTCACGGGTTCAAGCCGCGGAAACAGTCTATTGCAGAAATGCAGGGTACGGCTGCATATATTAAACCCTTTGCGCTTAGCGGGAGTTTAGTGCACCGGACTGCCCTTCTTGCTATGCGTAACTTTATAACTTGAATCCGTGGAGGATCTTGGTCACGTTTTAGACATAATGGAAATCATTTTATAGGCGGATATTTGAGTATGTGAAGATCATATAAACCTATATAACTTTAGATAGTTGTATAGTTTTGTTTGTTCCAATCTTGGCTTTGTTTTCTCTTTTTCTTTTCTTTTCTTTTTATAAATTAGCCACAGCTTCCCCCGTTCTTTGCAAGGATGCAAATGTCACGACAATTTAACTTGTAAATATATATGATTGGTCCTTAATTTCTAATCTGCAGTCTGTTGCTGGTTGTAAAAGAAGTAAGCGTGGTTCATTAGGCTTACCTGTACGTTGCTAATGGTTGTATATGGTTTTGGTTGGATCCACACTTATTGGTTTCTGGGGCCTTTGTGCAAATGGCGTATTTTGAGGCTACTATTTAAATTGTATCCCCCGATAGTCTTAGAGACTGTTTGGTCAAGCTTCAAAAATCTAACTTATTTTGAAAAATATTTTTTTAAAAGTATTTTTGGTAATAAGCAGTTTGTGTTTGGCTAATTAGTTTGAAAAATACTTTCGAGCAACAATTAGTGTTTGATCAAGCTTTTAAAATATTGATAATATGAATATCTATATTATTCCTGCTTTTTGAATGATCATTTTTTACTTGTCAAAATGCATATTGTGGTAGTACACCATTTATGCAAAAGGAGAGACATGTATTTACTTATTTTTTTTTTTAGGTGTTTCTTTTAAAGGAAGAAGGTAATCTCTGCCAAATGTTGAATTGCTCTTTGCTTTGTATTATATAACACTTTAATAACAGTTTGTAACCTAAATTAATATCATTATTTCATGATCAACATTTAGTCATGAGTACACCTGCAAATTAGTTTTTTTATTTTGTATTAATATTTACATATTTCTTCAATGATAATGATGTATTTAATAATTTATTTACAGTAATCGATATTAGTTTTATTGACAAAGCTAAAAAGAGTGCAACTTCTTGGATCCGTATGACCGTATCCTTTACATTTTACACGTAACACTTAAAATATGGGTTATTCTATATGTAATACACGTGTATCTAGAGACTAATAATATAGGTAATACCTTAGCTTGTTCAGTAATATTTTCCTTTGAAATTCAAATGCAGAGCCACTTTAATACATATTAGAATGTATGTCCCAAAAATGTGCGGGATGAAGGTACCGGGAGCTTATACTTTTGGACAAAGTCAAAATGTTTCTTTTTTCTTTCTTGTGACAAGCGAACAAAGCATTAGTCGAAATGAAGTTCGTTGGGACTGCATAAGTTCAACAATAATACATGGATAAGTATGTATAAAGAAAGAACTATTTTTTTAAAGTATTTATTACACCAAATCAAACAGTCTATAAAAAATAATCTCAATATACTAATTTCAACACTACTAATACATCCTATTCAATTCAGTATTATTCCTATACTTTACCAAACCCCCTAATAGTATTTCATATTTACTGTGTAAAGGAGTTCGACGTAATATTCCTCAGTCCTCCATAATTAATACTACCTACCCTAAATAAAGGATTAAAAATTACAAAAAGATACAAGAGAGAAGAAGTTCCATTTACATGAAATTCCTATTATTTTTCTCTTATTGCAGCCAGGAAGAAGAGTCCAAACTGCTAACTATTTCTCAAGGTGATGTGATAACTATCCATAGAGAATATACCATACAACATGATAAAACCAACGGGTTTTATTTATTCATTTTAGTTTCTAACGTATGCTCAGACATAAAGCAAATAATAATGGGAGAATAACACAGCACCACTTTGGCAGGAATATATATATTCGAAGATATCATTTTCACACATGTATTTACTTGAAAGTTCTCATTGTAATTTGTATTTATATATGTTTGACTAGACATGATATTCAAAAATGTAAAGAAACACTTGTGAATCTATGATGTTAAATTAATGGTGCGCATAACACATCAAGAAATTCTATGAATTTTATGATTTTATATGAAGGAGTATTATTAAGGGTAAAAATAGAAATATTATTGAAATTAAAAGCATACCAAATATAAAAATATATATATATATATATATATATATTCTTTTATGAACAAGACTAAAAAGGAAAATAAAACTCATAAATAAAAACGGATTGGATGGAGTATTATATTCAGGTAACGTAGACAAAAAATATATATAGACAATTATTTGTTATTATAAGTCATCTTAATTTGACAGTGTAGAATTTTGACATTGTTAAGAGCACAAAATTTGTCATCCCTCAAATAGTCTGAACTTATCCCACAAGGAATTTCGCTACTTTAAGACCATTATAATTACATCTATCATTCATCGGGACTTTGATCATCGGCTCCCGTGTCATCGGGTCACCAATATGCAGAGACGTATCCAAGTTGAGGGATATGGGTTCACGTGAATCCATACTTATCTCCCTAAACTATGTATAACAATATTATATTTTTTCAAAATTACTTAAATATATGTGTGTAAACTAGGGATGGGCATATATCGGGTATAACCGATAGCCCGAACTGATAAAATGCTATTGGGTTATTAATATTAGGTTATTGGATAAATGGTTCGGTAATGGTTTAATATTATTTGATAATTGGGTTATTGGTTCGGGTCTCGGTTTGCTAATTTTATTAACGGTTTAACCGATAACCCAACAAGCTTTATCAAAATTATAATTTTACCCACTAAGTATATAAAGCTACCTTATGACTTCATTCTCTCATTCTCTTAATTCTCTATGCAGTTAATCCTTAGATAAGTTTTAAACTTTTCTGACTTTCTCTTCTTCATTCTTTATTTTAAGTTTTAAACTTTAAAAAATTAATTATTCAGTTTTTTTTGTTTTTCTATTTGTTTCTTTTGTTGCACTGATTCTTTAGCATTTACAAAATTAGAATTTTATTTTTTCCCTGTGGATTATGCTCGCATGTACTGAAAGAGTTTGTAAGATTAAATTGTTAAATGTCTTAATACCTACTCCTAACTTATAACTTTGAAAATTGAGATCATTTGTTGGGATTTTCACATGCAAAGAAAGTTTTCTTTTCTATAGTTAGAATTTAATCCCTTTTTTTTTTGTCAAGAACAAAAATTTAGTTCCTTTCTCTTAACGGTATGATCACGATTTCTATAACAAAAACATGAAATTTTCGATATTTTTTATTCTTATTGGGTAAACCGATAACCGAACCAATAAAGATTGATAAACGACTAACCGATACCCGATAACCGGTAATATTCGCAACCGAACCGAACCAACCGAAATCCACCCCTAGCGTGAACCCATGCTCAAAGACTCTTATGGTGCAATTATTATTGGGTGCACCTCTACAAGTGAAATTGGCAGTTCAAATTTCACTCTGAACGGTCTTATTTTTGGCACAGAGTATAGATATGTATGTAAAAATTACAAGAATTTCAAAAAGAATATAATTTTCAACCTATAATTTCAAAAGTGTAGTGGGTTCATGGTAAGAGACTAAAGTTAAAGCCGTCAAATATAAATTTTAGATCCACATCTTCACAATAGTGCACTCATCCTTTTGAAATCCTGAATCCGCCTCCATCAATATGAGATTAATTGTGCAACCCAACATAAAAAACAGCTGGACAGGAAGATAGGCTAGACGGAGCAGTAGCTGGTTTTGAATATACAGAAGCTAAACTTAATAAATAAATAGGGTATAGTCCATACATAGGAAAAACAAGACATAATAGATATAGAAAGAGAACAAATGTGAGGAAGCTTCCAAGAAGGAGAAGTATTAGCAAAAGTTTCGTCGTGACAGTTGATGTGCTAAAGTCACAAGTCACCTCCACCATTCACAATTCCTATGAACTTTCCTCGAAACCCTCTTTTTAGAATAAATTAAAAATGATCTTCTCCAATAAATCAGTGGATATAAATTATTTATCAGAAACGTATATGATGCTGTTGACAACTTCAAAACAACTTCAAGTACCTCATCCTTTCCTATTCATTCGGTTACGGAGCTAGAATTTTTATGATGAGTGTTAAAATATAAATATTTAAATACAAGCAAAAGTTAAAGAGATTCAACATATAGTATATATACATAAAAAGAAAAAATTTACCTATTTATATAATATAATTTTTCGACAAAGAGGTATGATCGATATCTACCTGTTACATGTGCCCGGCCACTACATTCAATAACTAACCGAAGAATAAGTTCTTTTAATTTTAAAGTTTGTCACCCCAAGAATTCGGGTGAGATGAATAACTAAATGTTTCATATTGAGTCCTGAAAAAGAAAAGAATTCTTGTAGGGAAGCATTTTTCATTTATCGAACCTTATGCCGTGCGAATCTGAGTTAGTCGCAAACTTAATGTGGACCGTAATGGAAAACTAAAAAAAAATCTAAAGGTTATCATCATTAAGATAATTTGTCTACATTTTGTTGAGTTACAATAATCTATAGAAAGTCCAATATCTCTGTTAAATTAGCTACTTATATAGGAAAATCGGTACAAAGAATATATTTTTGTTAAAAAGCATTTGGAGATTTTTTTTTCTTTTCTTTTTGCGGGATGAACATTATTCTTGCTTGGTAGAAGACTAGAAGCTGCTTTTTGCAAGTACATTTATGTAATTTCAGAAACAGGAAAATTTCATACAGGAGTAGTGTAAACCGCTCTTTGAATTTGAAATATAGAAGAAAGATAGTATAGTATACCACCAAAGGGTGTGTGGGATTGTAAATATCTTTTCAATCCTTAACTAAAGATTTGGGTTTCTCGTCTTAAAAATGAAGTCGCCTTTAACAAGGAATATTTTACCCCAAAGTGATGGAGTACTTCTCAACTCAACCGAAAACCAAAAAGAATAGTCCTAAATAGTATTTCATCCCTTTATTTTCTTTTTAGTCTGTGCTAAAAAGAATGATCACTTTTCATATTTGAAAATAATTTACTTTGATGCAATAATTTATAGTTACACAAAATATATGTGTCTTATTTTACGCCACAAGTTCAAATATCTATTCTTTTTTCTTAAATTTTGTGCTCAATCAAATATGTTCACGTAAATTAAAGCAGATGGAGTATTAAATAAAAATAGCATCAGTAGATTACAAATTCGAGGCCATACCCAAACCATCCATTCAGAAGGTACCATTTGATTTAATATGGACCATAGGCTACATAGTCCATCCCCACTCTCTTTTCCCTTTCCTAACTTCCAAAATCAATGATCAAATCCTTGCCAGTTGACAATGTAACAATACTCATACTTCCACAATATTCACGAAAATACTTACTGTTAGATAGCACTATAAATAGAGTTTCCAACTTTCCTTGTGCCAAACAATACCTTTTATTCATACCATTGCTTTTCTTCCAAAAAACAATGGCAAGTAAAGTTGGTGAAGCAGCAACAGAATATCAAGACCTGTTACCTGTGATGGCAGAAAAATTGGACGTGGAGACGTTTGTCGCGGAGCTATGTGGAGGATTCAGGCTACTAGCTGACCCGAAAAATGGCTTGATCACATCGGCGAGTTTACAGAAGAATTCGGGGCTTCTTGGAATGGAAGGCATGAGCAGAGAAGATGCAGAGGCTATGGTAAGAGAAGGAGACTTAGATGGAGATGGAGCATTGAATGAAACTGAGTTTTGTATACTCATGGTTAGACTTAGTCCAGAAATGATGCAAGATGCTGAAGCCTGGCTTGATAAGGCACTCCAAAGAGAGTTGGCACAACCCTCTTGTTGAGTTTGTTATTGTCTCATTCATTCTCACTTAATTTGTCAATCCAAAAATATGAAATGAAAAAATATGCTGAAGAGCTAGCCTTCATTATTAGTATATATGATGGACTGTATCTTAAGTCAATTTGTTCATAGATTTGTGTCCTAGTTGATTCAATTATGCAATATCAAGGAGAGATCAGATAATAGGAGTGAATCGCCAAAATTAATACAGGTTCAGATTTGGAAGTTACAAGTTTCAAATGTTGTAACTTAGATGTACATAAGTCTTATGATTCCCGTCTGCTTCATTGATCGTTTCTTTCGTAAAATATATGTACTTTTTTCGGTGTTTTAAATTCTTATATGCTCTTTCTATTTCGTATTCTCCTTGTCTCCTGCCGGCCTGCCCTCCCCCATCCCAACCCCCTTTATATATAATTTTAATCTCTTTAATTCTAGCTTGATTTTCAAGAGAGGAATGGATAAAATATGACAGTTTGATAAAAGAAAAACACAATTTGAGACTATTATCTAACTATACCAAATTTTCCTAAACTGCAAGAATTTTCTTTTGTGACTACACGTAGAATCTTTATTGAGGTAAAACTATGGGTGTTTAACGGGCGGGCTGGACACAAAAAAAACAGCCCGTCCGTTTAACGTTGCGGGATGTTAGCGGGCTGAGTTAGCGGGCTATACTTTTTTGGATTTTTTTTTTCCGTACGGGTTCGAGCTTAGTGGGCTGTTAGCGGGCCGTGGAAATTTATTTTTTTTTTAAAGTAAATTTTATTTTTCTTATTCAATGTTATTGATACTTAAGTATTTGAAAACTTTTAAGGCTTAGAATTAAACTTTAAAGTTTAAAGTTTTAAATTTGAAATTTGAATTTTATAATTTTAAAATTAAAATTTGAAAGTAAGCGGCTACAAAAAATTATTTAATAAGAACAATAGGCAATATGTAAGGATCAAGCTCCGAAAACTTTCATTTTATATTTTTATTGAATAATATATAATACTTCAAATTAAGTTGCAAGTTCTTTTTTGATTTTGTTATTTTTGAACTTGCAAATTAAAAGTTTACAACAATTATAAAAAAATAAAAAAATAGTACATTACATGTTTTGCATCATTTTTGTAAGTTCATACATGTCAACATGAGGTTCTTGGTTTCCGACATTGGTTGAATCAGCACCATAAACCATTATATCTCCAATTTCTTGGTCCTCCGCTTCATCTACCTCGTCACGCCCTTGATTTCGTCGTTATGATCTTATCCAATCTATGAAGCACACTAGAATTTTCAAAGCGTTGTTACCCAATGAATGATGGGTATCTCCTAGTTGTTGTCTTTCTTGGCTAAATGCGCTCTCTGATGCGACTGTTGAAATCGGCACATTTAGCACGTCTCGAGCCATGGCCGAAAGAACAGGAAATTTATTTGAGTTGCTCCTCCACGAACCTAGTGGTAGAAATTCCTTTGTGCGGGGCTGTGCTGACTTTTGCAAGTAGAATTGAAGTTCATCAATATTCCTGCTACTGGTTTGTTGATGCTCCCCTAGTGTAGACCAAATCAAATAATCTTCAACCCCATCATTATCATCCAAAGCACTGGTCCTAGATGTTGAAACTGAACTTGAAGGAATATTTAAATCTACAACAGCAAAAGCATCAACAAATATTAGCATAATAATTATATAATATTTCTAAATATTTGTGTAGATCAGAAATACAAGCAGTTGGTCCATTAAAAAAAAAAATTTAAAAAAAAAAAACATTAATAAACGGGCTGAACCGTTAACAACCCGCTAACGGGTTAACGGGCTAAACCAGGTTGTAGCCTGTTTACAACCCGTTAAAGGGTTTAACGGGCTTAGCGAGTTCAAGTGCAACGGTATCAAAAAACTATTCGTTTGAAACCCGCTCCCCGCCCAACCCGTCCCAGCCCGCCCACGCTACAGTACCAGGCTGGACCGGGGCCGTAAACAGGTCAGCCCGGCCCGATTAACAGGCATAGGTAAAACATTGGCACGAGAACAGAAATAGAAGAGAAAGCGGTCTGAGGTGTTGAGAAACAGATGGAAGTGACTTGAATCTTAGAACACTTTCTTCAGGAATACAAAGATACCAGTACAGAACACAGACCCTGCACCTTTTCATTTTATTTGTCTATTATCATGTGAAGCCTGTTAGAAATGTAAAAAGTGTGCTAAAACTCATTCGCTAAACTTCACACAATTCTGCAAAACATGAGCTAATGGATTCAACATGCACATGCAATTGATTCTACTACGCAATGTTTTCTGACAGCTAAAATTACAAGCCACAATCCACCAAGTTAAAAGCAACAAAATGCAATCCACTACATTGGTGAAAGACTGATCTTCCCCTACACAACAGACTGCACCAGCCACCCAAGCATTTACATTATGACAGCAGAAGCTCTCCCAGATAAAGTACTGACTCAAGTTCTCGACCTTCGAACAGGAGACCTGCTGAAAAATACAAAAGATAAAATGTGAACAAATGTCTCCTACTTGCATCAAGAAAGAAATGACAGTTAAAAACCAAATAAAAAAAAGGAAAGTTTTTTTTTACCTGCGATACCTTCCATAATCTGGACTATTATTGTATCTGTCATACGATGGACCATTACGAACAGGACTATGAGGTCGGCCATAATCTGGACTAGGTCGGCCCCTGCGATACATCGGGCTTGGTGACCTCCGATAAGGGCTATCCCTTTGCCTGCCATAATCTCTTCTAGGGCTGTTATATCTGTCCCCTCTCTCATCGTCATCCTTCAAAGCATACTCTACAGAAACCACTCTGTCCAAGATCTTACTGTAAAATGTATTAACAACTCACTTCTTATCAGGAAACAAACAGATAAGATATTGCAACCATTAGAAATAGAATGAAATATCCTACTAACCTCATGTGTGTACACTCCAAAGCTCTTGTGGCATCCTCCTGATTGTCAAACTGCACAAAGGCAAAATTGCGACGTATGCGAACATGAAGGACATTGCCGTACGGTTCAAAGTGTCTTTCTATATCTCGGGTTCTAGTACAAGTAGGGTCAAAGTTTATGACAAACAATGTTTTGGTTGGTCTCTGGTTTCCACCAGACTTAGGGCCATCACGGTGTCTACCACGTTCACCCTGTCAATCAAAGTCGTCATAATTAATAAGATGCCAATTATCAAGAGATCGTACTTCCTTTCGGGGGAGGAAATGTCTAACGGATTGCATTTCTCAAATTTTGGGAAAGATGAAGACAGAAACATTACTTTTGCCCATTCCACTGATAGACGGCGCCTTTCATACCCAAATGGCATGTTGTCAGTCCCACGGATGGCATCTGCTGCATCTCTCTCATCCTCAAAGTAGACAAAAGCAAACCCTGTAGTTGTAAACAGAGTTCATTATAAGGCCGAAAGAACAGTAAGATATGGTCTCTCTGAAGACTTTTCGGTAGAGTATACATCAGCTAAATCAAAGTTCTCATCTCCTTCAGAAATTAAATAACGTACAACACCTGCAAGTATGTGAGGACTTGAGGAAATTAAGGTGGTAGAGGCCTTGCATGAACTAGATCATGATGATGATGATGATGATGATGATGGTCAAGATGAAGGCTTATTAAAGGTTTAAAGTCAAGTCTGAGTAGACATTGCTAAGCATGCATCACCAATTTCACAGCACGATTTGAAAATTGGTAGACATGGCATGATATAATTCATTGATCCTCTTATTAGTAGTGGTAGGCATGGAATGATGAACCGACTGATCCCATCATGATCATTCTTGTGATAAGCCAACATGAGCATCGAGTAAGTGAATGACAGAAGATCGATGCAAGAAATGCAGAACAATTCCATCAGTGAGAAGGGGGAGAGCAGGCAGGCAGATAGGTTTCCTTGCATTAGAAGTTTTTTTGGCACAGGAGTGTTGAGCCATGATAGAAGCTCTTTTTCCTTAGTAGATGTGCCTGCGGCAAAATAAACACTTGAATGCGGAGATCTTCTCCAAATAAAATATTCGGTTCCACATTATGTCTTGACAAGTCACATGTATCATGCGTACATGCTACACAAATATAGTCAAATAGCTAGGTAATTTTGTTTAACCAAAAATACTTATAGTCAACTATCCCGAGAGGGAAAAGACTATAACTTATAATGCACCTCAAATAAGAAAATACTTTCCAAAGCGGAATGATTAAACAAGATATGGATTAGATAAGATCCCAAAAAGATAACACGATAACACTATCAGACTAGTATACAAAAACTTTCCAACAAATAAAAAAAAAACTAAAGTTCATATTGTTGAAAATGTAACTCACGTTAACAATTTCATAGAATGAAGTCATTAAAAAATTTCTACTATTCTTTCTGTGCCAAGAATTGCGAGGATCATGATCTCAAAAGCAATGCTTAAAAAGGCGGAGGCACATGGCAGGGTGTTTTAACTATCATCGGATAAGCCTAGGTCTCTTGAGCCCCATTAATTTCTAACTTACAAAATTTTCAAAAATAACTAACATATAAAAATATACTCCTACTAATCATAGAAAACATTTCACACAAGTTGCAGCCATATACTTAAAATAAAATAAAATGAAGAAGTTATATTCTGTCTAGAATATGCAATCCAAGGCACGCGTAGAAGACCCCTACCCAACACATAAAGCATGCAAGGGGAAAACACACAGCATTATCTCCATGAGAATTAAACCCCAACTGGTCACCTCAAGACCAGTTCAGGCGAGTCACAACTTTGCCTTTTAAGAAAATGATCAAAAGAAAATCTAAGAGAGGTTCAGCAAGTGCCCACTGAGTAGTCAACCGATCTTAGTCTCAATCCCAAAAATAACACAAGGACAATAAGTAAGCAAACCCTCTACAATAACTAGTACTAATATGCCTCGGTCCCAAACAAGTTGTACACTGACCACAAATTCCATTTAAACAAATCTCATACCAATACTATGCAATTACAAAAAAGTACTACTAGAAGTTAAGATATTTTCTAAAACGTATAAATATCTTAAAGGCTGAACATTAAAAAAGAGAGGAAATAAGCTATACCAGATTTCATGTCAACGCGCTCTATTCTTCCGTACTTGGAGAAAAACCGTTCCAGTTCTGATTGGCGGGTATCATATTCGAAGTTCCCAACGAAAATAGGCCTCATCTTCACCACCCGTACAACCTAAAAGAACTCAACAAATAATTTTTCAAGAATCTGATCAAACAGTTAATACCAACACATACTAACACCATTTTGCGATTTTTTTTTACAGTAAACCCTAGTTCTTCATATGCTTATATTCTTCCTATCTTAAACCCTAATTTCAAATGACAAGTTATTGCAACGAAATGGGCAAATAAAGCAGAAAATCGGTTATTTTATCCTGCGTTTTTAACAATCAAAAGACCCTACATTACGATAATCTTTTACCAGAAAATCAAATAAATTACCGAAGTTTTATGTAAGTAAAAGCCTTAAAATACAATAATACAATAATTTAAAGTATAGCACAGGGTAAAGAGAGGACATTACCTTTTTTACGAACAAGGACTGGAAAACCCTAACAACCAAAGAAACGTGTTAGAATAGGATGGAGGGAGTTTATATACTGGATTTTGCACATTTGGGCCCATTTCTTAATTAGACTATATGGGCCGGATCCAGAAAGGGAAGGGGTTGAATCGGCCCTAATCGTAGTATTAACCCATGGTGTACAAAGAAAACCGATAAATTAACAAACTGCACACAAAAAACCGACAAACTGTATCGCACCGATTAAATCCAGTCAAATTAAAAAAATCAATTAGTGATTTGGTTAGATTTGGTTTAGTATTGAAAAAGAGAACCCCCACAATTATTGATTTAGTTTGATATTAACTAAACAATTAAACCCAAACCCGACACTATATGTATATAATTTTTAAAGTTATATTGTATATAAAAATATTTATTATAATATAATATGTAAGTATTTCTTTCACTTTATTATATTTTTTATTTTTTAACATTTTAATACCATGTCTGAACTTGCAATTTTAGCCCATTATTGTAAATGTTAAGGAACTTAAATAAAGCCCAAACTAAGATCATCTTTAGTGAAATTCAAACATTAGTGAAATAGCACCAAAAATTTTAACTAAATAACATAATTTGAAACGGTAAAGCAAGTGCAACTTGATTTGACGCAAAAATCCAAAAAGCTTATTCCGGAAACCTCACCATTATCTTTGGGAAATATTCCTAGCTATACTATAATAGAAATTTATTTATCATTTTTATTTAATTTTGCATCACATTCTCTCTCTTTCAGCAACTCTCCTAAAAATTTGAATTTCATCTATTTTTCAAAAGATTTCACGTCCCATTCTCTCCCTCGTACTTATCACCTAAAATTGGTACTTCTCTCACAATGCAGATGAAAATGGCAAAAAAATTGCCTCTAAAATTGAGCAACGGGTTTTCTATTGACATCCATTAAAAAGTTTCAAAACTTTGAATTTAATATTCGAAATTTATAAATTTATGATTTGTTTAGATTGAGTGTTCTTGCAACTGATAGAGAATATATCTTGTAGTTTATATCTCAATTTTGAGTGAAATTGATTAACAATTTGTTTGGATGGTTGTTACCGGTTGTATTGTATCGTATTGTTACTTTAAATATAATGTTTATTTTGATTGTTACTTAAATTTTATTGTATCATATTGTTAAATTCGTCGTTACATAACCACGAAAAGTATCACCTTATGGAACGACATATTTGGTGTGGTCACGTTATTATCTTATTTTTCTCTCATCTTGCCCTTTTTTATTATTAAAGTATTTTATTTTATCCTTTACCCTATCTTTTTATATAATAATATTACCTAGTACCTTAATTTTATTTATAATATTACAAGTTTATTCTTCATATTGTTGTGTGTATGACATCATGAAACGACAACAAACAATATAATCTATCCAAATATTGTATACGTCAAAACGATACGATACGATACAATACAATACAATATAATACGATACGATACGATATGATACAATACAATACAATACAATACAACAACAACAACAACGACCCAGTGAAATCTCACTAATGGGGTCTGGGGAGGGTAGTGTGTACGCAGACCTTACCCCTACCTCGAGGAAGTAGAGAGGCTGTTTCCGAAAGGCCATCGGCTCAAGAAGACGAAAAGAGACAATACAATACAATATAATACAATACAATACAATACAATACAATACAATACAACCATCTAAATAAGCTGTAAGTTTAGAGTTGGTTTTAGGTAAAATTTTATATTGAAACTCAAAGAAAATGAAGTTGCAGGAATTGGATGATAATCTATATCTATCTATATCTATATCTATATCTATACTATATTAAAAGTACGAATGCCCTTAGTGAAATGTCGTTCGCCTTTTTTATCCCTTTAAAATTGAATTCACACATGACAAAATAGTCATTTGATTATTCTACTAATATTAGAAATAATCATTCAACTAATTTTCTAAGAATCAAATAATTGTCATTAATTAATTCCCTACTATTTAGGAATAATCATTTAATTATTTAAGTCTAAGTAAAATAAAAGAAAAAAATCTTTCCAATAAGAATCAAATACTTTCAAATTATACCTTATTAAAAAGGAAATTATAACTTTTGTTATGAGAAAACTTTTCCGCAATTTTGCTTATTTGTCAAACAAAAAATTAGGAACATTTAATTTTACCCTTTTTATTTACATTTTAGATTGTAGAAATGTATGTTTCCACTTTAACACAATTTAATTTATTTTTTGGAAGTGCCAAGTTTGTCTAATTTAAGTAAGAAAAGAACTATCCTTAGATCTCTATAAAATTAGTTTTAATGCAAATTTATTTTCAAAACAAAGAATATTATAACTCAAATAATTATTTATGAACAAACATATTATTGTAACATTGACATTTCCTCCTACTCTTCGATTACGTACTATTTCTTCAAAACAATATACATCTAAAATAATAAAACTATTTTATAATGAATAATAGGTCAAATTAAAGCATATTCTTTGTATGAAAATTGAAGTTGGACATAGATTTGTGATATATAAAAAAAGTAGTATTTGAAGTTAAGTTAAAAAGGGTATTTAAAAATCATGTAAACCTTTTCATTTGTTTCCTAAAAAAGGTTTAAAGGTTATAGACAGATTGAAATACCGTTGTGAGCAATGTTAACACGTTTTTTTTTAATATAAAATTAGCTAAACACAATCACTATTCTTTAATTTAAGGAATTTACACTATTTCTTTTTAATCTTTGCATTTATAATTCACGATACTTTTTTAATAATATTTATGCAATTTTAAAAAGGTTTTACTCATGACACGGAATACACGCACAACGCGCGTACAAAGTCCCTTAGCGAAATATTATTCATCTTTTTTATCATTTTAAAATAGAGTTCCCCATAAACAAAATAGTCATTATCATCTTATTACTTTCCTAATATTTAGGTTTTAAATTAACTAAAATTTTGACTATTAAATCTTTTCTTATTTGAATTATGTAAAAACTATTAATATTTAGGAGTTTAAATCTTTCCATAACTATAATATTCTTAATATACAATAGAAGAAGGAATTATAATCGGATGTCCATGACTTCTTTAGAATTCCTTATTGTCATAAAAAAGAATTATTTCAAAGAAAAATATAAATAATTCGTATTCTTTTATTTTCTCATAATAATCGAAAAAATTAAAATTGGACAACTAAATTGGTATGAGAAAAGTAATAAATACTCTCTGGTATAATAAAGAAAATTCTATTTTCATACTTTATTTATCTATCAATATTTATACAATTACACAAACAAGAAACTTCAACACAAAATATAAATTGACTTTCTTACTCTTTGTAAGTAAATTTGATGTTCGACAAAACTATAATTACAATTAATTTTTAGGACTTCATTATTTATTTTATTCGTTGTTTGGCCTTTTAGTGTTTCTTCCTCTAAATCGTATTATAATTTATCATTTTCAAGAATTTATAAAAAAAAAATATTTTTATTTCATCACACAATCATATTATTTAATATTAATATTCATGTAATTTTCTTTAAATCATGTACTCAAACATAGGGTACACACGCAAAAGCGTATCCTAAAACTAGTTGTATGATAAATGTATCACAATTATTTTAGAAATATGTCATAATTATATTAAAATTGTATGTGTCACGACCCCAATTTTTTTCCGTAGAATGTCGTGACGACACCTAGTCTCTAAAACTAGGTAAGCCTAACAATATGCGGAAACATTAAAATAAAACTTAGAATCTCAAAACTCCAACAATTTCATAAATAGAATCTATAAACACAATGCGTACAACTCTCCAAAACCTAGTGAAATGTAAGTCACAAGCTCTAGATACAGTGTTGGGCAATCCTATACATCACTGTCTATAAAAGTATAAAGAAATAAGGAAGAACAAGATAGAAGGGGACTCCGAGGCCAGCGGGCGCGGGCAAGTGTATCTTGAAGTCTCCAAAAGCAAGCTCAGCACGCTAGTACTGAGACTGATAAGATGTACCTGGATCTGCACAAAACATGTGCAAAAGCATAGTATGAGTACACCACAACAGTATCCAGTAAGTGCTAAGCCTAACCTCGGTAGAGTAGTGGCGAGGTCAGGTCAAGGCCCTACTAGAGATAATAAGAAAAACAAGACAGAAGACATAACAATATAATGATAATGACAAAGGAAATGAAACAATAAAGATCCTACGAAAAGTTAACAATACGGAAGCAATGCAGTTAATACAACATGAAAGGAGAACAAGGATTTTACATGTTAAGGAAACAACAACCAAAACAAATACAACAAATAGAGAAAGATCAACAGGGGGCCCTACCGAGGTACCGCCTCGTAGTCCCAAATCATAAAAGCAACTCACAGTCTTTTCTTATATCACCGCAGGAGTCTTTACATTTAGTTTTGTAAATTATTTTTCCGAAATAGCACCCCGTGTTTTAGCCCACCTTATCACACTGCATAGCTTCTAGTAGTTCTCCTACTAGCCACGCGTATCAATCCCACCTTATCTTACCGCATGCGTTTCAACCCTCAAACCTTATACCACCGCATATGTATCTATGGTAACAATGGCACGGTAGAAACCTCGTGCAAATAGTAACAACAGCACGATAGAAACCTCGTGCAAACAATCAAACAATCCTCTCAACAATAACACACATGCCAAAATATAACAACTCAATAAAATGATATTTTATAACTTACACTTTGCCTCAATAAAAACTACGGCCTTTGCAACTCAACACCAAATTCAATAGCAAGATATTTCAAGTGACGGGTAGAAAAAAAATCCAAGGTCCTAGAGAGGATGATTACCCATTGGGTATAATTATGGAGTACAGTTTGGTACAAATGAGACTTGAGAGGATGTTGAAAGTGGGATTTAATGGACAGTAGTACAGATTAGAGCATAACCTTATCAGAAAGTACAAAAGTAGTTATCATGTTTTATGGTTATCGGTTTACCTCAGTTACCAGTTACCATTTTAA